TGAGTGCCTATGGTGGCCACCGCCGGGGCAGCCAGAGCAGAGCTCTCAGACCGGGCCCTGGTCATACGGCAAACGCTCACCATCACGCTCACCATCACGCTCACCATCACGCTCACCATCACGCTCGCCATCCCGCTCGCCATCCCGCTCGCCATCCCGCTCGCCATCCCGCTCGCCATCCCGCTCGCCATCCTGCTCGCCATCCCGCGCGAACTGCCTCGACCCGCTCTGTTTGCCCCGCTCCTGGTCGCTCTCGCTCTCTGGGGCAGGTTTTTAACCAATCAGGGCTGGCGCCGTTCCTCCTGGCTCCGCCCCCTGTGAGTCAGCTGCTCGCGTCAGCTGAGCTGCCGGCTCCGGGGCAGGTCCTGTCGAGGACTTGAGGCTCCCTCGGTGGCTCTGCTCTTGTCGCTCTGAGTTGAGGCTCCTGGACGCTGATCTCCCCCTGCTCTGGTGTTCAAGGCGTCCTCTCTCGAGCTACTCACTCCCCAATTTTGGGTTTGTGATGTTTGATGATCCTGAACCAGTTCAGAAGATCCTTAGCAGCAGGCCCATCATGTTCAGGGGAGAGGTGCGCCTGAATGTGGAGAAGAAAACAAGAGCTGCCAGGGAGGGTGACCGCAGAGGTAACAGACCACATGGACCTGGAGGCACTCGTGGGGGGCTGGGAGGTGGGATTCGAGGGCCTCCACGTGGGGGAATGTCCCAGAAGCCAGGATTTGGAGCTGGAAGGGGGATCGGGCAATGCCAGTGAATGCATCGTGGATGTTGACATGGTGGCGAAAACCCTTTTTCCTGCAGATTTGTGAATTTCAGCCTTGGGTATCTTGGAATGTGGCCCTAGCCTGTTATAGAATGCTACGTTTGATACTATTTTGGCCCCTTTTTGTTTCTATTATGGTTTTGTGATTTACTATTTTTCTAGTCCTTGTCCCAGATTCCAGCTTTGTGGAACAATGCTTTAGGAAAAGTGGATTTTAAAAAGAAAAGAACTGAATTTTAAAACATTTTAAAAATGTTTTCAGGATTTAAAGCACAAATCCTTGAAAATAAATATATCTTGAGATCTGGGTGCTGAAGAGCTTGTCTGGCTCTTACTGGTAGCCCAGCACCTATCGCAACTGTTTTTCTCTCTATTTTCTTGTTAGGCTACCCTTTGTCCATGTTGGTCTCTGTAGTTCCTCTTCCGCTTATCCCTTCCTGCTCTGCTTCAAGTTTCACCTCTTATTCTCACCTTTCTGTTTTTGTTCTCCATCTTTCTTTGCTTTCCACTTTGCTGCTCAGTTTCTTGAGCACGCATGAAGTCTATTGTTCTGTTCCTCTTCAACACATTTATTACATTGAATTCAACCTTGCTTCATAGGGATGCTTAACTTAATCAGCAGCCCAATGTAAGTAACATGATGCAGCATTAGGGTGCAGTAGTCAAGGCACACAGTCCTTTCTATAAAGGCCAGAGAGGACATGCACCCCTGCATCTGCCTGCCCATACTCACACTATTACCTGATACATGCACAGTGCAGGGAGCAGTTTTCAAGTTTTATAGTGAACATGAGGAAATATCTGTACATGGCTAAATTGTCTTCCATTGGGAAATTTGCAGGGGAAATTGCAGGCCTGCCAGTGGCTGAAATAAGGTGAGATACTGAGGCTAATGGGGCAGGAATTGCTGCTCCCCAGAAGGTCTGCAGGAATGTAACAGCAGAAAAGACTAGCAAACGTTTATGTTGACAGAGATACGTTGTGTTGTCAAGTGGCTGTTCTTCCTCTCCAGGCTGTCAGATGCCTTCTGGTACACTGGTGGTTACTGAGATAAATTCTGTCTCATCACCTGAAACCTAGCAGCACTTAGTGCTGTTCTAAGGCTGACTGCTTTGGTTGAACCATTCTGTCCTGCAGTTGTCTTCCTTTTGCTCCCACCATTTCTGCTTGTGTGCTGGTCACTCCAAAGCTGCTGCACTGCTTCATCCACTGAAACAGCAAGTTGTCTTGTCATCCAGAGACCACAATGCAAACTGGGACGTGAAAGAGAACTTTCTGGGCTGTTTCTCTAATTTAATCTAACTACTAATTTCTTTCCAAATGGCAAAATGCAGGGCAGGTTTTGTTTCTTTCCTAAAAGTGTTTCAGTTGCAGCTCTTGTGCAGCTTCACAATTGATCATGGATATCAAAAGGCTTCAGAATTCTTTATTTGAAATGAATAGGCCCATGCAATGGATTAATTTCGTATACAGAGAGCCATAGCATGGTTTGCATGAGCAGTGGTGCAAGTATTGGCAAGAGACTCCCCTTTTTGTCAGCTGCAGTGGTTGCCTTATCATCTCCCATCTTCACCGCCCCACAGCCATGGAGCTCCCACATACTCCATAGTTGACCCCATACTCCATAGTACCAATACCACAAGAACAGATGCACAGTAAACCAAACAGGTGCATGATGAGAGGGACTCTTCAGCAGGGACTGGCTGTAACTATAGGACAAGGGGTAATGGGTTTAAACATAAACAGGGGAAGTTCAGGTTAGATATAAGGAAGAAGTTCTTTACTGTAAGGGTGGTGAGGCACTGGAACAGGTTGCTCAACGAAGTGGTGAATGCTCCAGCCCTGGCAGTGCTCATGGCCAGGGTGGACAGACCCTTTTGCAACATGGTCTAGGGTGAGGTGTCCCTGCCCATGACAGGGGGGTTGGAACTAAATGATCATAAGGTCTTTTCCAACCCCTAACCATTCTGTAATTCTATGATGTGACCTGAACCCTGTTGTGTGGTTCACATTAGTGCCAGCACTGTACTGTAGACTATGCTGACAGGTAAATTCAGGTTCTCATCTACATCACTATAGAGTAAAATAAGAATAATACTCTCAGTGTCATCTTTGCATAGAAAGTAAGTGTTTGGGACACCTGATAGGGTACAAGCATGAAAAACACGTTTTCTTTTTTGAACCATGACAGTTTGATAAAGACGTTGAAGCTGATTTTTCAAGGTTCGCACAATGTCGGTTGGTTCTGAGAGCAAGGAGAGCCTTCCAATGACCGAAGTATCTTCTGAGATAAACAATTTTTGTAATACTGGTCTCTGTACAAAGTTCCATTAACTGGAACAACGAGCTGTTAAGGCTCAAGTTTTCTTAGTACTGAAGAAGCAGAGAAGAAATGGACAAAGTCCTACAAAGTATCTAATTTCCTCCTTACTGATACAGGAAAAAATCTTTTGTATTTTCTACTGATTGTGATTCAGACTTTCAGGCTGTTAGACAGATGCAATACATAGTGCTTTTGATTTGCATATATAGGCCTGCAAGTGAAGCAGATAACTTCGATCAAAATTTAATGTGGCAGATTATATGCAAAAGCAGTGGAAAGATACTCATTTCCCATAGCATGATTTTTGTCGGTCCTGCCAATTAACACAGAGAAGTAGAAATAGGTTTCAAGAGGACTCTGTTTTTCATTTTCTTTTCCAACAGTATGTGTAACGCAGTACATCAGCTAAAAGAGCATTTAAAGAAGGCAGAGGCACAGTTCCACCAGATTGTGTGGGCACAGGAACAAAAAGTGTTTTCAGCAATAAAAATCTGAAAATATTTCCATGCTCTTCCTAGTGAACTGGGAAGAATTCAGAGAGCTGAAGAATTACAAACGCACTTTCTGTGAGCCTTCTAACTGGATGATAATCTCAGAATTTATTCCTTGGCATAGAGTGTTTTGGGGCTCAGAGAGCACAGTAGGCCATAGGAATGCTTGGAGCAAAGTGCGTGAGACTGCCCCAAAACATCAGCCTGTTACTGCTCGGTGGTTCAGATGTAAAAAGAGGTGAGGCTTCCAAAAGCAGTGAATTCCAGGATAGGCTGTAAGATCTCAAAGGAAATAATTTTTGCATGTTTAGCTTCAGATTTATTATGCTGCAAAGTGTTGGTGGCAAGATGGTAGATCCTGGTTTTCCTGCATGCCCAGGCTCTCTGAAAACAAAACCAAAGCTGCTCCTCAGTCTTTTCAAGGCCTGTCAGCAGATCACTTCCACAGGAAGAGACAAACACAGTGTCCTACTATACTACTGTTTTCAGCAGAAAATGAGCGATACAAGGAGGAATGCTCTTGACATTGCACTGAGGTGTATAATGATGAAGGTACCAAGGGCCATAATTACTAGAAATCATTCTGACACATGAATGGGGATTGATATATCCAGTTAAAAGACTGCAGATTGTGCATTACCATAGCAACAATGGAATTCCCAAATATGTATGTATTTGTAAAGTAGTAAGCGCAGATTTAACACGTGATTTTTCAAATCAGTGTGAGATTCAAAGCCAGATGCACAGCTTTAAATCTCTCCAATAGTCTTGGAAAATTGTAAAAATGGTGGTAAAGGATGATTTACAGTAATCTAATGTCAGGAAGAACATTTGATTTGAAGTATCTCAAATAACTGTATCATTTTTCTTAGGATGATGGTCTGAAATATTACCAGAAGAATTTTAGAAGAAAGGAATGTCTAGAGATGACCCTAAAACAGAAATGTTCTCCCCACACTGAATCAAAAGAGCTCTCAACAGATGGTAGTTAGTGGGATATAGTGTAGCTTCATTGAGATTATTAATTTTTTCTCCATCAAAATTTTGATGATGTATTATCATGCAAACTACCTGAACTTCAAAGTCTTCAATGAAAAATTAAAACTTTACACTACAGATGCATATAAACTCAGTAGATGTATGTAAGATTAAAAGTAAATTAAATTAAAGGAATGGCTCAAGGTGAAATTCTAGGTCTTGGAAGGTACAAGACAAAGGCAAAAAAAAATCATTAATTGATGGTGTTGTCACTGATGAAGAGGTTATATTTGAAATGTTCCTAGGCAGAGCATGAAGTAACATATGACATGCGCAAAGTACAGTTAACACGAACCCAGAGTTTGCAATCAGATTCTTTCCCACTGAATGTTCCCCATAAAACGAAAACCAGTATGAAAAAAATAGTTCTTCCCTTCGTAACTGGTATCTGATAGGTTCCCATTTTGAGCCAACTTCATTACTTAAAACAGAAAGCAGTCAAGTCTTCCCAGTTCTCTGGGTACTCAGCACTGTGGGAAGAGCACAGAGAACAGAAGTCTTAGATGTATGTTATTTTAAGTCAAATTGACTTCTCTTTTGTGCTGTTTACTCCTTATTCAGCAATCCAGTGATGAGTGGTGTTCCACAGGGGACAATACTGGAACTGGCGCTGTTCAGCATCTTTGTTGGCGATATGGGGGACAGTGGGATAGAGTGCACCCTCAGTAAGTTTGCCAATGACACCAAGCTGTGTGGTTTGGTTGATATGCTGGAGGGAAGGGATGAGATCCAAAGGGACCTTGACATGCTTGAAAGGTGGGCCAGTGCCAACCTCATAAAGTTCAACAAGGCCAAGTGCATGTGGGTCAGGGGAAATCCCAAGCACAAATACAGGCTGGGCGGAGAATGGAGGAGGAGCAGCCCTGAGGAGAAGGACTTGGGGGTGTTGGTCAATGAGAAGCTCAACGTGACCTGGCAATGGCTGCTTGCAGCCCAGAAAGCAAACTATCATGGGCTGCATCAGAAGAAGTGTAATCAGCAGGTTGAGGGAGGTGATTCTGCCCCTCTACTCCACTCTCATTTAACCCCACCTGTAGTACTGCAGTCAGCTTTGGGGCCCCCAAAATCAGAAGCACATGGACCTGTTGGAGTGAGTCCAGAGGAGGCCATGAAGATGAGGCCTCCTCTGGGGGCTGGAGCACTTCTCCTACAAAAACAATCTGAGAGAGTTTGGCTTGTTCAGCCTGGAGAAGAGAAGGTTCCAGGGAGACCTTAGAGCAGATCCCAGTGCCTAAAGGAGCCAAATTGAAAGCTGGAGAAGGGCTTCTTAAAAGGGTGTGTAGGGATAGGACAAAGGGGAATGGTTTTAAACTGCAAGGGTGTACATTTGGATTAGATATTAGGAAGAAAATCTTCCCTGTGAGTGTGGTGAGGCACTGGCACAGGTTGCCCAGAGAAGTTGTGGCTGTCCCATCCCTGGCAGTGTTCTAGGCCTCTTCATGTGGAAATTTTTTTTTATTGCACAGCAGTAAGCTCTACTGAACATTATTCTATCATCTGAACTGACAGTAGAATTATCAGTTATTCAGCATTATCAGACTTATGAATATCTGAACAGGAGTTTAATACCTAGAAGATAATAATGACATGCATTTTGTGCCTGGGAACTCCAAATTGGAATGGTAACATATCTGTATTTTGACTAGCATATTCTACTAGAGTAATTAAATAGCATCTAACTAGTTAAGAATATAGGAGAACCATCCACATGTAAAAATCACCGTAAACAGATCTAATTTTATAGTAAAGGCAAAGCCAAAGCAGACATACAGAATTGCTAATACGCAGACGTGAACATATGTGCGTATGTGGTATATATACCTCAAACCAGTCTTAAGCATTCCATACAAAATTGGCCCCAAGGTAACTATATTTTCTAGGGAGGAAGAAGTGTTAGGTTTTGCTGGAAGCAGAAGTTGGGGCTAATCCTGCAATTTTATCATAACAGAAGTTTTGTTTTTATCAGGACTTCAGGATCCACATTAAAAAAATATTATCTCATTGCCAAAATAAAATGCAAAGTACTGGGTACAATGTGCTTGATTTAATGGAATATTCAGATCTGCTATTCAGATGCAACTGTTAGACACTTGCTACTCAGAATGTACTTTTTGGTGTTTGGACTAACAATTACGCTATTCTTCAAATCCCTAAAGTTTGCTATCCTTCAACTCAGCAGCAAGACTTGACTCGGGAAAGTGGAAACTCAGACATTTCATTTGAAGCTGTACGGATATGAAGGGACAACTCTTCCCATTTATCTCTTCAGAATCTGACAGTAACCCCTTAGCAAAAGGCTACAAGAATACAGATGTCCCACAGAATAAGGGCAACCTTATGGAAAGTATTCTGTTTTTTAGCACTAGAAGAGAAACTCAGGAAATTCCAATACCCAAACAAGTATATGTCGACCGTCACACAAATATTCACATTTGTGTGAACATGATTTTTCACACAAAAAAAATACAACTTCAGTGGTACTGTTGAGTGAAGGATATAATTTTTTAATCTGTAAAATGTGTACCTCTTGTTAATTCTTTGCACAGTAAAGCTGCTTCATTATTTATTCTCCGGGTGGACAATTATAAAGTTGATCCGGATCGTCCAGATAGTATATGCTGATTTTCTCTTTAATATCTACTATGAGAGACCAAATACTCCAAGTCATGACAGCCAAATCAAAACAAACCCCCAGAACTGAGGAACTGCTTGAAGCAAATAAAAAGCTCTAGGTATCAAAGCATTGCTGGGCAGGAGGAAACATGTACTTTTTCCTTGAAGAAAACTGGAGAGCACTGGAATTACAGCTTTATAAGCTCTTTCAGAAAGCATCAGCCTGACTCTGAGAGTGATCTCAGCTTCACCTCAAATTAATTAAGATGAAATCTGAAGCTGATACAAGAACAAATGGAAAAAAAAAACCTGGCATGTATACATTTAGTCGAGGAATTAAAAGAAGTTTCGCATATATAAGAGAAAGCAAGTTCTGGAATGGATTTTCAATGAGAAACGGGCAAATAATAAAATAGCAGCAATATGTTCATGACAGGGACTATATACAATATGATATGGGTAATAACAGGTGACTGGAATATGTTCCCACACAGAATGTATTCTCAGAATTAGGCCCAACAAGTTGTGACTACCAAATGATTAGTGTCAGATTCACAGTTGTATATGACAACCGCGTCTGCCCTGCCATTATGTTGCTCAAATATAGCCCCCAGCTTATATCTTATTCAGAGGAAAAAACCCTCTAAAAACCTCTAAAATCCTGGTGCTCTCAAGCTAAAAAGCTGAAATTGAAAACACCACTGATTAACTCATCTATAGAGCTCATTTTGAGCTACAAACTGAAATTAAAGAATTTACTCTTTGGTTGAAAGACCACTATTCCCTTACAATAACATGGAGAGAAATTAACTATTCAAATGCTCCAAATCCTCTGACATTTCCCAGAATATATGTGCTTGCCCAGAAAGGAAGGTGAGTTCTCCCAAAATTCACTAGGAAAGGAGAAGAATGACTCATTCTGCCATAGTCCTACAGACTGTGAGATGATGAATACATGAGACTCTTTCAGAAGTCCTGGAAGCCAAAGAAGTGTAGCAATCAAAATGGCTTCTCAACCAAATACCGATTTGCCTGGTAAAAATTGCTGTAATGAAAGTAAATCTTTTTGTAATACCTCAGAGTATTTTAAGAGAAAAAAATAGTCCTGTGGAGTCAAATACTTCCAGGGCTCAAGACAATTCTAATTGGAGAAAAAGGAGCACACTAAGTGAATAACAAAAATATAGCACACAAGTTAAGGAAGGCAAACAAGGGTGGAGGTCAAATCAGTTCTCAGCTACCACTGGACATGAGAATCCCAGGCTAGGTGCCCTCTGCTACTAGTATTGACAAGGCAATGCATTGTTTTCTTTGTTCTCCCAAAACACCTCCTCCCTGAAGTCAAATGTCATGATTACGCTTCAGTTTTGTAGTGATTTGCAGACACATTTATGTAAATGCTGAGCACCTCGTGGAGCCCTCAGAAACTTCCTGGAATCAAATACTGAACTTGTCTACTGTGAATAACACAAAACCACAAACCAGTCTTTTCATGTGCCTTTATCACTTCAGCGGTTTTTGTAGTCTTACAGTGGGCCAAAGTAAACCTATTTTTCGTGCATTACCATTAACCTATAAAATGTAAGATTTCTCTTTTGTTAGAAGGGTTTTGTAGCCCTTGGTGATAAACATTGATAATCATTGCTGAACATTTTAAAATGTGCTTATTTAAACTTGGTATGAGTATTCTGCAGACTTTTTCTTTTAGTGTCCCTCCAAAGTGTTTGCATGCTTTCTGCAAAGAAAATAAATAGAACAAATATTAAGGCACGACAAGTTGGTCAATTATTAGCCTTTGCATACCCAGATCACAGCCCTTTTTTACAAGGACACATGTTAATATATAATAGAGCTGTATTTCAGTTCTTTTTAAATTGATTTTTCAGACGCATATTTTAATCTTATGAGGTCAGCTGGAAAGTAAGTTGACCAGAGAGGCCTTTCAGCAAAATGAACCACACATGAGAAATACAACTGGAGCTAAACACACGAAGAAGTCCCAGGCTGGCATTCAACGTACACACCAGCCTCACTTAAGTCTAGGTGAACTGTCCATAATGGCCTTAAACTGTGGTTCTAACATTTCTCAGATCAGAGAGATGCAATAAATGTCAAATGTACAACTCACTTTTTTCAGGTGGCTGGTGCCTACCACATTGGTGACTATCCCTGTGAAGATGTGATTGCTATTTAATATTCAATCATCATTGTATGTCAATGAAGTGAGGAAACAGTAAACAAGTTTAATCTGATTTTGTGCATAGGAAATGAGGTGTCAGGGAACATGAAATGGCCAGGCAAAGTGCACACAGCAATCAAAATTTTTGTGGCTACGTTCAGAGACAGAACTAGGAAAATGTGTGAGAGAAAGGTTTTATTCTGAGATGGATTAAGGCAAATCAGAGATAAAATTGACCAGAGAAAAAATAGCAGAAAATTAGAGAACAGTAGACAGAGAATAGCGAATTGGCTCATGCAGCCTGAAGACAAAAACTGAGCCAAGGAGCCGGAGACCAAGAAGTAGTCTGGACTCTCCTGGCTCACTGGGGCAATTTTGATAAGATACAAGAAAATTGTATCAGAACAGTCCAGTTCCGCCTTCAACAGACTGCCTGGACTTTGTACTGTTGTGTCAGACACAGGCAGTTCTAACACGAGGAGGACTGTATTAGAGGTCATACTGTGCTGAGACCTCGTTTATTCTGTACCAAGTTCAAAGTCCTACAGAGGTAAGGACACCTGAAAAAGGTTACACAGAGATGTAAAGGTATGAGGACTGTACACTCCTATACACAGCCCTGCACACAAATCCAAAAAATACTTATATGGTACGTCCACTGCACCTAACGGCTAAACT